AGTATTTCTGTCACTGCTGGGTTTTCTGCCTAAATGTTGGAGGCCAATCATATTTATACTATGTCACCAACTCTTATTAACATCACATTATATCCACATTATTTTCTCCATGTAAGTGAACCATGGAGGAATTTAGATAAAAACATTTGGATACAATATGCATCGATATATAATAAAGGCTAGATGTTTCGTCCACACTGGCGGCCATCTTGATTCGGTATGCTCGTCCATCCGTAACATTGTGTTTTAGTGGTTCGTGTACTTTTTAAATAACCATAACTTGCTCAATTTTCTACCGATTTTCAAACGGTTTGGTTTGTTATAAACGTCAGAGGTGTAGTTATAACACTTCACTGATGGATAATTATGTTACACTCTCAGGGCCAGCAACAATTTGTATTTTAATTATTTTGTTTTTTTATTTGTATTTTTGTAATTTGAATTGTAGCGACGTTCACAACGTTTGCAAGAAACGTTTGTAAATCTGTCAAGATTTCAGCGAGATAAGAGTATTTGATGTTTGTGCAGAACCATGGTATAAATCTTGTTTTGCTGTTCTTCTCGTTTGCTCTCCTCCTCTTTCCATTCTTCAAACGTTGTGTTTCGGCCAAATATATTCAAATTAACCTCGAAATCCATGTTTTTATCGCATTTCTCTCATTCACATGTCAAGACACAGCTGATCTGCGCCAGCTGATTTGCTCGTTGCTATGGTGACGCCCTGAGCGGTGTGATGTCATACCAGTGATTGTGTTTGTGTTACTGTATGAAGATGAATGGTGACATTGACTGTAATGTAAGGGGAGCGCCAACTACAGTCTTGCCCAGGGAACCAGAGTTAGTGAGACTCACTCATGGGAAACATATTAGAGTTATTTTTTAGATTTCTAATGTCAAGTTTGTATTTATCTTCTGTCCTAGTTTTTAAAAAAAATGTTTGAATTCATACGTCATTAAAAGTGATAAATGAAAATAAAACAAACAAAAAATCCCAATAAATAGAACCTAAAAGGATCAGATCAGAAAACGTACAACTTTAAAACTGATGTTGAGTTAAAAATGCATTGCTTTTAATAAAATGTTTGTTTGGTGGAGAAAGCAACAGGTCACGTGACCACAGGTGAGTTCAGGGTCACCTGTGGGCTTTTGGGTCAGGTGCTGTAGGGCTACAGAGGAAACGACATGGACCCAAAAAAACAACGACTCTGCCCGGTCTGAGAGGCACAACCGGTAACTGTGACTTTTATTTCCTTTGTTTGTGTTATTAGTGTTTTGTGTGGATGGTTTAACGCATTGTTGGTACAAGCTCGCCTAGTTGGACCGTGTTTACGTGTATTTCCAGTAGGTTACATCATCCAAATGAATATTATGAAGCTCTGTATTTTTATATTTATTATATTTATATTTTAAGTACTAGTACTTAGTATGATTAGGGGCTGCAAGGTGGAGCAGTGGTTCGCGCCGTTGGCTCGCAGGTGAGGACACCCGGGATCTTTCTGCGTGGAGTCTGCGTGTTCTTCCCGTGCAGCGTGGGTTCTCTCCAGGTGCTTCCTCCCACACAGTCCAAAAACATGCTGAGGTTAATTGATGATACTAAATTGTCCGTAGGTGTGAATGTGAGTGTGCTTGGTTGTCTGTCTCTAAGTGTAGCCCTGTGATAGACTGGACTATAAAATGATTTCATTCAATAACTGCCTTTTCTTGTTGCCACTATGATGCTTCAATCAGAGGCTGATCTGATCAGAAAAGGTTCACATAACTTTGGGCCTCTGTACATTTCTGACAGCTGATGGGAACTCATGCGCATCCATTGAAG